GTTATATTATTGTTTTGAAAAAAAAAACGCTGATATCATGAAAATGAAAAGCACGAAAAATTATCATAAACTGTTATTTATTTTATTAACGAAAATGAATTGTATCTAAGAGGTTAAAAGTAACTTCTGATAAGCAATGTATTTCTATTCTGAAACTTCCTTAGAACTTTGTTGCATATTTTTATTGGTTACTGAGAGAAGTTTTAAGTTAATCGTGTGAAAGTTCTTGAAGTGTTTTAGAAATGTATTTAGAAATGTAATAGTATATAACTATATCATAGATGTCTGTCTGCAACTTTTTTAATTTTTGAAATGTTTTAGTTTGTTTGAAATGCTTAGTTCGTTTGAAATGTTTAGTTTGCTTGAAATGTTTAATTTTTTTAAATGTTTTTGTTTTGTTTAGTCTTAATTTTTTTAAATGTTTTTGTTTTGTTTAGTCTTAATTTTTTTAAATGTTTTATAAATTTATTAATAGTATATAACTGCATCATATATGCCTGTCTACAATTATTAATTCAAGAATTTACAGATATAGGGAAATGTTGAGGGCAAACAGCATTCAATTCATGACTAATTTTCATGATACTTATCAGCAAAATTTAATTCAGAAATTATTAAGACCTATGCCAAGTGTAAGTACAACGGATTAAGTACTGTTCTAGTCTTTTTTTTTAAAAAAACTGTTTTGCTTTAAGTTACGCAGTAGGGAAAAAAAGAAGAAAAAAAAATATATATATATACTTACACATAAAAAAATATATATATGGCTTACTTTGCGCGAACTGGAAAACAAACAAATCACACTCAGTAAAATTATGAACTTAATTCATAAACTAAAGTAATACACATTAAAAAATCTATCAAGTAATTTTTAAGCAGTTTTTACACAAAAAGCAAATAACAGTGAGGAACAAATTTTTTGTTGGATTTATAAAAATACTTGATCTTGTCTAATTCGGGAGTGGGGATATCAAATTTGAAATTAGTTTTCCTTCTAAAGCTACAGACTTTTTTTTTGTCATAATGAAAAAGTTTAAAAATGTTATATAGCAGGGGGTCGCATAAATATTGCGACACACTTTTAGGAGATTTAGGGCATATCATCTGTTTAAAATGTCATAGGAACCCATGCACGGAAATGTCGTCATACGGGGCTAGGGGCGATTCCCATTATTACCTGCTCAGAAGCAAACGAAGAAACAGTTCATAATAGGGGGTAGCACCCTTAGATGCGTATAATGATATTTCCGTGCTTTGGGTCCAAAAAATTTTAATCCTGATGATGTGCCCTAGCTCCTATAAAAAATTGTCCAAACATTTAAGCGACCTTCTGTTATATATAACTTTTTTAAGCTTGTATATTTAGATAAAAACGGGCTAAAAATATTAGTTTAAAAAACTGTAGTTTAGAAAAGGAAACCGTTTGCATTTTTGAAATCAGTAACAAATGTAACACAGTATCTATGATTTGCTGAAAAATCTCATAGAATAGAAAACAAGAAAAAAAATTGTTCCCCAGTGTAATTATTTTTTTAAAAACAATATGTCAGTCGTGATTTGGCGTAGGAGCTATTTGTAAAATTTGCTCTTAAGTAAAAATGCATATAATTTGTAAGAAAATAAATTACTAACTCTAACCATCGTGTGTGCATTATTTTTTTAAGAAATAAAATAGATATTTTGCCTTTTTTAAGTTTCCTTCATTCTTTTAAACATCATGTTCCAAGCATATGCTCTGGAGGAGCAATACAACCTATCATTTCGTGACATCGGATGTTTGAGTAAACAATAAAACTCCTTACAGACTTTTTGTCAATATATTTTGATGACTGCACCGCCTTTTATGGATCAATATTGATCATCATTTGAAAGTGCCGTTCACCCCTGTTTATGATAATTCTCAAAATATTTACTGATAACAAACAAATAATGTCAATTAATCTTTAATAGAAATAATATAAATAAATGAAACTGCTGCCTTTATATATAGCTTTACTTTTTTGTAAGGGGGAAATATTACACATAGACCTTATTAATATACTTTTTTAAACCCTTATGTAATAACTATATTTTATAGCGTTAGTAAAATCTTAAATGGCGCCCAAATTACTGAGAATATTAAAAGTGAAAGAGAAAATTTCTGTGGAAAAAAAACGAAATAAACTAAATCAACAAAATTTTATTTAAATATTATTTTAATACATAATTGTAATTAAGAAAAACATAAATACTTAAAAGGTAATTGTTGGAAACCTCTTAACGTAAAATAAAGTTATATTTTCGATCGATGCTCCGAAAATAATATAAAAATCAATCATTTATTTTTGAAAAAAATTTATTTTGTAGGGGTAATTTTGTATTTGTATTTTGTAATGTACTATTATTCTAATTTATTTAATCAATAATCTCTTCAGCTCGAGTGAATCATTAAAGCATTCATACAAAATCAGAATCTGGACGAAAAAGAGTAAAAAGCGGTAGCTTAAATGTAAGCATTGCTAATTTGGTGGACTTATTTTGCTTTAACTTTAAGCAATGTTAATCACATATCTAATAAAATTCAGATGAAAGTGAAGCTATATAATTTTTATTTTGAACTAAGTGGAAGTGAATTAAATATATCAAATTATTATTACCCCGCCCACAAACAAACAGCTAAAAAATTTGTTTGGTTACCAATTTTATCTTTTTACTCTGACTGATAACGTTTTATGCCGGCATGCATTAGTAACAATCGGCGCGAAAGGGTTAAATTACTGCTGACTGTAATTTTGTTAGTGATGTGTATACAACGTGCAAAAAAAAAAAAAAAAAAAAAAAAANACAAAGCTTGCAAAAAGAAAAAAAAAGATATCACCTTGAATAACGTTTGTTCCAATGATAGTATTTTCACAAACTACAATGAAAAAAAATGGTCAAAACTACCAGAATGCGGTAAAATTTGCCGTGTTTCTGGCTCGATGGGAACTCCAAAAAGCTCGATAATTTTTATTTTTACCGAAGGGTTATGGGGATGCTTTTATGGTAAAATTAGCCATAAAATATGGTTTTATTACATGTGATAAAATTTGGCAAATGAGGTAAATTTTTTTAATTTTATTATGATACCTTAGAGCATGGCATAACCACCATTTATTTCGTTTAATTTACTTATCAGTTTTGTATTTTTCACTAAAAGTTTTCTAATAAAAACTATAATTTTGAAAACCAGAATTTTAGGTAAACAGTTACCATATGAACGGAAAAATTACCAAATGAATGTTTAAATAACTTGTATTTAGGTTTTATTAACAAGAGTTATGGTTTTCTTTTACCAGAAATGGCATTGACGGTCATTTTACTCGATTTTTTTCCTTTTGTAAGTATCAATTTTAATGATTCACAAGGGTGACCTTGAATATGCTAATTAATTAGTGCTAACTATTAACTGAATAACAGAAACAGGCGCAAAGACATACTTTCTCAGAATAAATTCACTCTTTTTTCCATCGTGTCTGGATTTTTGGTGTTCAATATAAGCGTTAAGGGGGAACCGCAATCTCTAAAATATGGTCCCAATAGTTTTGGTATGAGAGCTGCCGAAAGTTTGGGCCTTTAATATTACTTTCTGCGTATGTAGCAATATCTCGGGAGGTTTTAAAACGAATCAAAAACTTGTGTCCATAATTATAAATTCGCATTTCTAGATATAATTCCTTGCAAAAATAATTTCTAATAATTTTTTATTATTTTATCTATTAAGATTCGGAAAAATATTGAACTGTAAGGTATACAAACTTTTACACCATTTTAAACTATAATACAAAATACAAAATTTAAGCGGAAGCAATTGTTAATTTCAGAGAATAGTTCCTGAGCTATAAAATTTCAAACAAACCCTAATTTTAGAATTTTTCCAGAAATATTCAATCAATTTCTCTTAAATTTCGCCTTTGGTCACTTGAAATTACTTTTTAAAATGATATAAAAAAAATTTATACCTTATAAATCGAAATTTTTTTACCCCTTACTAAATGAAAAAGTAAAGATTCTTGAAAAAATATTTTTGACAAGGATGAACTAAATTTATAATTCGGTGGAAAAAATTTAGATTTGATAAAAAAAATTTCCGAGATATGACGAAATACGTAAAAAATGAATTTAATATTAAGAGACCAAAACTTTCGACCACTCTTCCTGACTAAGCTATCAGGATCATATTTTCCAGATTGCGACTAGGTATTTGAAAAATGGTTGGTTATATAGTTATTTGAAGAAATAAATAAATAAATAAATAAATAAAAAAAAAAATTAAAAAAATAAAAATAAAAATTTTATTCGGAGAAAATACATTTTTGTGTCTGATTCTGTAGCATAATTAATGGCTAGCAATAATTAATTAGCATATTTGAGGTTGCAGCTTTGAACCATTATGACTCCTTCTTTCAATTAGTTCGAGAAAATGCAGTCAGTAGAACAAAAGGTATTCAAGATGATATCATTTTTATTTTGCGCATTGTATTTAGGCTATCTGAGTCTAACTTGTATGTAAATAAAAATAGCCAATTTATGGGGAAAACTGAAAGTATTTCACTTCTATTTTCTTCTGTTTTTGAGACCAGAAAGTTATGGAATTTTAATTACTTTTATTGAAAAATATTTGTAACACTGATATCTGACATACAAACAGATTGCATTTTAACAAGGATCTTCTCTAGCAAATCTCTATAGTAAAAAAAAAATTTTCTTCTAAAAAAAAGATTCGATGAGCTTTTTTTCAATTACAGCACACCATTACATTTGCGCCAAATAAACCCTCAAGTAATTATCATTTCACAGGGGAAAAAAGCCTAAATGAAGTTCAACTAAATGAAATTCTGTAATATGTCAGGGTTAATCTAATCCAATAAACTAAATTAGGTAAGTTCTCATCGCAGGAGAGCTCGTCTGGAAGCTCGGGATGAAGAGAGGGGACCGACCTGTAAAAGAGGCGGGAGCGAGTACTTTTTTCCCGTCACCTACTTACTTAGCGGGATGCCGCGGGCGAATGCAGAAATAGGTCTCTGTCGAGATTTCATCGGCCACTGACATCAACCACGTTTTTCATTCATTCATTCACTCACAGAAACTCTGTAAACAATTTCTCTTTCGATTCCCATTTGGCGAACATTGAAAAAGTTTTGTTTAGTATCTTTCACATTTTTTATTCTAATAGTAATTTTTTTTAAATTTTGTTTTTTGTTTTACTTTTACTACTATCATTTTTTAAAAAGGATTTATTGCGCAAATAGAGGCAGCATTTACTCATGACCTTACGTAAGTAATTTTTTAATTGTTATGAATAAACATATTTTTGTTCAACAAGGGATAGGTGTGCTAAAGCAAAATACAACGTGAATGAAACACAAATGAAAGTACATAAATGGAGATACTATAGTTTCAGTTCTATAAACAAGAGCCTTCCTTGGTGTCTAAAAGTTAAATGTAATGTCCATTTGACTTTTAGACACTGAGGAAGGTTCTTGTTTATAGAACTGAAACTATAGTATGCCCATTTATGCACTTTCAGTTTTGCTTTATTCACGTTGTTTTTTGCTTTAGTCATATTTTTGTTTTTTACTTTTGCTTAGACGTTTATTTGAAAAACAAATCAAATTCAAATTTCAAATTTTTCTTTCAAATTTTTGAGAGTTTCAATTTTTGAGTAAAAGGGTTCCTGTGTAAAGTATAAACTAGAGTACAGAAATAGATATATTGTTGTAGTGTCTGTTCTATAAACAAGAACCTTCCTCAGTATGTATACAAAATGTACAACGTTATGGAATGTGCTGTTCTGTACTTTTATTTGTGCTTTATTAGCGTTGTTTTGTTTTACTCATACGTAGCACAAAGCATACTATATCTTCACTTGGATAAATGGATAATAATTTAAAAAAATTCTGAAGATAAAATGAACTGTTCGTTTAGAGTTCCTACTTTTGTTGCCTTCTTTTGTTTAGCTATTTTTAAAATACAAGTCTCCTTCGAATATAGAGAAGAAATGGGCTTCTGGGTAAGCAAAACAACGCGAATAAAGCGCAAACAATAGTACAGAAATGGATAGATTATTGTAATGCCTGTTCTAGAAACAAGAACCTTCTTCAGTATTTAAACACAAAATGTATAACACTATAGAATGTTCATTCCTATACCTTTATTTGTGCTTTATTCGTGTTGTTTTGTTTTACTCATAGGTAGCACAAAGCATACTATATATTCAATGGGATAAATGAATAATACTTAAAAGAAATTCTAAAGATAAAATGTGCTGTTTGATTAGAGTTAGTATTTTTGTTGTTTTCTTTTGTTTAGCTATTTTTAAAATACAAGTCTCCTCCAAATATAGAGAATAAATGGGTTTCTGAGTAAAGTAAAGCAACGTGAATAACGCTCATACAATGGTACAAAAATGGATATATTGTAGCAAGTGTTCTATGAACCTTCCTTAGTATCTAAACTCAAAATATATAACACTATAGTATGTTCATTTCTGTACCTTTATTTATGCTTTATTTACATTGTTATACTTTACTTTAACAAAGCACAAAGTATACTGTATGTTTACTTGAATACACAGATTATAATTTTAAGAAATTCTAAAGATAAATAAACTCGTATAAGACATGAAGTTATTACCCCTTTTTCAAAAATTGAAACAAAATTCCCTTACTTTTCAACTAAGCTTCCATTAATTATCAGTTTTGCAAAATTATGTAAATTATACGTAAAAATAATGACATAAATAAAAGGAAACTTTTGTAATAATCCACTGTACGAAGTTCTGTGGAACGTTTTGTTCTGTTTCACGTTTTTTTTTTTTTCCTGTTCTGTGGTGTTTTGTTCTGTAGAAAGAGAATCTGAGAAAAATCAATGAGAGATTTGTATAATGGTTAGAGTCATTTATCTAGAAAACATTAATTTTACCTATAAAAATAATTTGAAATATAACCCAAAATTTAATTTTAAACGAAATTACTCTGTGTATTAAAAATAATTAAATAAATAGCTGACTTCACAGTTCTTAGCAGCTTACACAAATTTTACAGTGTTGCACTTTTTTTCTTTTTTTTTTAAGATTATTAAACGACATGTTTTAAATATTTATTTGTGTGTATGAGTTAGGATAGTAAATGTTTTAGTTAGACCATGGAATCATAAAAAAGTAACATGTTGTAGGCAACTGTACATCTAAATAATGATGTGACTAGATTTATTCAAATTTTAAAAGCTTTATAAGTTTTTTTAATTACCTGGAAAAAAATTTTTGATTTCGGTAACCTTTGCTTTTATATGTTAAAAACTTTTTTTAGCCTATAAATATTCAACATTTTTACCAAATATTGATTTTGGTTGTTTTGCATTAAGTCACAAGTATATTAAATAAATTTAATGACTTAAAGAATTAAATCACAGAATGAATTCATAAAAGACACCATCAATTTTCTTGTCAATATTTAATTTAAAATTCACTTTTATCATGACTGTCGGTTTGTTACTAATTTAGTTAATGTCAAATGAAGAAATCGCTGATTTTTAAACTACCTTATAAGTTACAATTTTTAAACTTGATGTTAAAAATACACTACTATTATGAAACTAAAGTTTATTCTAAATGAACTATAGTTCGTTCACCAGGAGCTAGCATTTGTCTCCCCCTCCTCGGACGATGAGTTCATTTCAGCGTGGGAGTAAGAGGAGAAACGTTTCCGCGCTTGAAATTGAGACAACCCTTAATGCGTGCCCAACACAAACAGCGAATTCTTTTTCAGTCCCCTACTTCGTTTATCCTCTGCTGTTATACCTTTCGTTACTCTAGATAATTAAATATATTGCAGCAAAATATCTAAAAAAAGACAAACTATTCACTCGAAAGAGAGAAATATCATCAAATTTATGAAATATTAAATGTTAAAAAAATACACATAAAGATTGTGAAATTAATATTTTTGTCATACGATCAACATATAGCAACCTTGTTCGGGATTTTTCACATCCTTGTCCCAAAAATAGCGAAATAGTATCGTCAAATACCACGTGATGAAGGCGGACCCAAGTGCCAACTCCTATTGAACGAACTGTATTTCCAATGCGTAATATTATTCTTTAAGTATTGATTTTTTCTATATTTTCAAAAACTCGGAATAAAATAGACATGTCATGTATCATTTTAAAACTTATAAACACTTTAAATCAAACATTTCGCATGCTTTCTTAAGTAAAAGTGATATAATAAGAATATTTAAGTGCTTAAGAGAGTTTTCTTATTTTCCTGTAAATTTAGTACAGTAAACAAAATAAAAAAGAGAACATTAAAAAGAACTTTTGATCTAACGATTGGGTTTCCACGCACTTAGATGCAACCTCAATGACTCTTAAACTTAAATATGATAATTAATTTATGCAAACGATAATTTTTTTTTTTAAGTTTCAAAAATTTGCACTCATGAACATCACTTTATATACATATACATATATATATATAATATATTGTA